CTTCTTCATGTACTTTATATGATCAGCTCTCAATAAGTGCATCATTTAAGCTTTAGGATGAAACCTGGAAATAGCATTCAGACGCCTGGAGACTTCACTCCGACAAGCTAAAGATGCTTTCAGACCATTCTGCCTGATTGCATCCCGATACCAAATGATTCAACAGAGCAATCCTTATTCACTTCTGCTGCCCTTTTGGTGAGAAACATGACAGCACAGCACAGGGGGGAGCAGGCTGTTCGGCTTTTTTTTATTTTGGTGGTTTTATCCCATTTTCCACCTCAGTCTGCGCCTAATTCTCAGATATGTTAGCTCAAGCTAAGAAGTAACTGCTCTGATTTCAAGTGAGATGGGGTTTACTCAGCTGGCTGCCTGCTTTGCTCAATTATTAATGTTGGAGAACTATTGATTTTGCCTCCCTGAGCTTAGTGGCAAACAAGTGCTGAAAAATGGAAGTGGCAAGCAAAGGAACTATGAAAAAACAGCATCTGCTTCCAACGCAGTTCAGTCATCTGAAATCCAAGTGGCCCATGAATTACGTTAACCTGTGAAAAGGCATTCCCACAGAAGTAATTTTTTCCTCCTGCAATTCCTCTAGTTACTTTCATTCAATATACTCTTCATTTCCTGGGTTCAAGGATGAGGTGTTTTGCAGTGATGGCTCTGGGCGAATGATACTTTCACGTGAGCTGGCTGCAATCTAGGAAGCACTTTGAGATTTGGTATGTAGATATCGCACTGGAATGTTTACAGGCAAAATGAGCTACCAAATGAAAGTGATATAATAGCCCAGCTCTCACTCTCAGACACAATCTTCCCCCCTCAATCTCAAAATGTACTTTACCGGCTACAGTCTCAGGCAGCCCAAAATCTTAGACAACCCCTTGCTTTCAAAGAATAAAGCAGAGAAAATGCCTCTTAAGAAGTCTACCTTCATGAGCTCTCCCTCACCCAGCCCTAAGCTATCCTATAGCCTACCCATCCTACACAAAAATCCTCCAGGACTCTAAAGCACTCTCCAATATGGTCTCTCTGCTCTGGGACATGCTACTGCTGCCAAAACCCACCGTGTGCAGCAGCAGCTGTGTTACAGCCCAGATTTGTCCTCAAGGAGGAACTACTGGGGCTTTTAGAGAGATCTGTACTAAATCCCCACACAGAGTACAGCCTATAAACAGAGGGAGTCGTTTCAGAGGGAAAGTTATCAGGTCAAGGAAAAATCTTTGCAGAAGTAAGAACAGGCTTTTACCATGATATCAGGGGGAGCCCAGATCCTACAGTGATGCACTATAGAAAAAACTGCAAGCAGAAGCAATCCCTCAAACGGAAACCTGTTGGGAATGGTGCCAGGTTGTAGTGATATTTGACCCCAGGCTGGACTCAGATTTTGTCACAGGTACCTTTCCTGGGGAAGAATAGGCTAAAGCAAAGCAATGAGACCCAAAGAGAAACTCTGTCACTTGGGCCCTACTCTGACATCGTAATGCTAATAAATGCGTAAGACAAAAATAGTATGTCAAACTGATAATATCTTAAATGAGTATCCAAACCCTTCAGCAAGAGTAGATGCCTACAAATTGTAACATTTCCTTCCCTTTTCAATATCTCTTGCATAAATAACCCCCTTTTAATAGACAGAAGCTATAATGTAATGCAATCAAACACAAGCCTGACTTTTCTTTCTCTGCAGTGCACACAATTGAGGCCAGGTACCCCTTCTCCTTTGTACCCTCTAACCCAGCAGCCAGCCAGAAGAATCAGGCAGCCAGGAAGAAAAGAAAGAGATTAAAAGAGACGGCTGCAAGTGAAACAGTGAGCACCATAGGAATGACTGCAAGGAAGCTGCCTGGGGTCCCGTTCGGGTTTCCATCAAGTCCTGTGCAACTCCGTTGACCTCAGGGGAGCTTAGCAAACAGAAGTAACCACATGTGTTTACCTCCTGTACACCATATTCTCCAATAATCTACCCAAAGAAAACAATATTTCTTTAGACAAGAAAGCAAGGGAACAAGTAAGCGAAGAAGGGGGAAAAAGTAAAACACATACACAGCAAGCATCAGTTTTGAGGCTACAACCTATGGGTTAACAAGATCTTTTAATAGGTTGTTTCTCTGTCCTCACAGAACACAGCATGCCTAGAAACACATTTTTTATAGATAGCTTTCTATAACGTCAGCTTGTACTAATCTCTGTAACTAGTTTATTGCAGCTATGATAATAATTGATCAACTTGTAAACCTGATTATAAAGCCTGCTCCCTCATCTGCTTTGTTCCTTGGCTGACTCTTGCTTTTGAAAGCAGCAAGAATTTACAGCGGTGGCTGTCTGCGGCATCCATTCCCTCCCTGGCTTGCCAGAAGCACAGTCTGACTCCCATGGAGTGGCTGAGGATGTCTGGTTACAGAGCTTCCAGCCATTAACCCCACCTGGATCTGGTCCCAGCTGAAAAGAGAATATCAAAGTCACGGAGGGAGTCAGAAAGGCTGGCAGAGGGGAAGAAATGCCTCTCTCTTGTATTCTAGCATTCTGCGGTCCTCATGGGTCACACTTGTGAGATACTGGACTGCACAGAAGTGGATGCCCTTCCAACAGCCCTCTGGATCTGATGGTTAAGATGCTGCCTGAGGCAGCTGGAAGACAAAGATAGACAATATATTAAGCAGGAGGTATCTGAGAGGGATCACTTGCTACTGGGGACACCCACAGGCTATCCCTTGAGAAGTTCAGTCTGAATCACCCCCAGCAGAGTTGATAGGCAGAAACAGGATTCAGCAAAGGGTTTGACATCTGGATATCAGTCTGCATCTCCTCAGGAATCTGGACCTGATTTCTGCATGGACCGATGTCTCTCCCTTTAATACCCAGGTACATCCTTCTGCTGAGAAAACAGATGGTTACTGTGCTGCCTGGCTGTGCCGTGAGGAACTTACGTGTTGCCAAAGCCATTTGAAAGGGGTTGGGAATTCCAGATTATGAGTACTGAGAAATGATGTTTTGTCAGTGAAGAGAGCACCGGGACAAGAAAGAAGTGCTTTGCCGTTTCTCAGCAGCACTGTGCTTCAGCCTCCAGTGGGGAAACCATGGAGTCGTGTAGCTCAGGAGCCGAGTTCTGCACTCATGAGTGAACGGGAAATCCCACCTGAAAGCCCCGTGCCAGCTGCAGCCTGGCTGTGTGGTTGGATCCGTCACGCAAGACAAAGAGAGGAAGACGTTTGTTCCACGACACAACAAGGTAGGGTCTCATGCACTGAGGCACCCAAATGAAGCAAATGAGGTAGCCCATGCCAGGCCATGAGGTTCTGCACAGCTCAAGTCAGGAAGCCCTATTACAGCCACATTGTCACACATTAACCCTAAATTAAGACAATTTATTTGCACACGGGAGGAATTTACCATGCACTCATGCACCCGAGAAATGAGCTGGATGCCCAGTGACAACTGGCCTTGCTTTAATTCAATTACCAGTGCTTGAAAATCCAAATCAAAGTCTCTGGATGAAAAACATGGCAATTGACTGACATAAAAATCCTTAATTTTCTAAGCCTAGATGTCCCTTTAGAGCTGAAACAAGTATAGAAATTATTGCCATGATAACTAGATTAAGTCTTCTTCTTGAGGACATGAGGTATCCAACTAAGCAAGATTTTAGTAGCAGTAATTACTTGATTTAAATAAGTGTATGTATTAAGTGTATGTCAGCAAAATACACTAATTATTATTCATACCACTAGTGGCAATAATAACGGTTAACAAATCAGAAGCATTGTTTCATGTCCTAAGGAGCTTTAGAAGCACTAAGGAATTAAGGATTTGCTAATAAAGAGTGGTGAATAAACAAAAATCACAGAAGGATTTTAAGAAGGTTGAATAAGCTACAGAAATATATGGAAGATAAATGAGAACCCAGAGGAATCTGGTTTATATTAAAAATCCCTAAAAACAATAATGTAACGTGGTCTGGGTGAAATGAGGTCAGTGTGTCTCTTTCCAGAACTGAACAGCCACGTCCACATTGCAGAACCCACAACAGAGGTCCTCTTCTTGGGAAATTCAGGACAGACACGGATGGTGATTCTGGCAAAAGTGCATCATGCCAAGAAGCAGATCCCAAAGACAAGGATAATAGCAGGATGAGAGAAAACTGCAAGAAGATGGTCGGAACATAAATATCCAGCTATATTAGCCTAATACCTTTCTCCAGTTCTACTTTTACAGAAATGATGGAAATTGTAATAAATAAATAAAGCCCTGCTGCTTCAGAAGGGGAAATCTGTGATCAAAGGGTTCTTTCAAGGTGCTATTAAAATGAAGGTATTACATTTATGCTTGTACTGAAGCACATAAGCAGCTATTTAATCAGCTCTGGGCCTGTTATTTTTCAGCTGCTGGCAATGTTAGAGCTCAGCCCCTGCCCAGGCTTTGCTCACTAGCAGCACTATCTTTGATTCAGTGCATTTTAGTGCTGTTTCTTAAGGCTCAAACCTACAAAACACCAACTTCACTTAAGAAGCACTGAGCGCCCTCAGCTGTCTGAAAAGCAGTTCGTTTTCTGCCCAAATTTCAAGTCTGTGTTCACTGCCTTGAATAGCCTCAGAAAAATTCTCCTTCACTTCTTTTTCTTGCAAACCAAAATTCTTCCCAGTATTCACCACTCTCGCAGTGACAGTGCAATGGCAGGCTCTGGATTTCTGGCCTGTTTTGCAGAGGACGAGTGCTACACATTTGCCACCAAGTAGGGCAGATTACCCTCGTTGTGCCCAGGAGGCAGAGCAGAAGTGCTGAGCAGCCAGGACTGGCATCCCTCTGGGTTCTCAGCATCACTGAGAGCTGGGGCACCCCTCTGTAGTCTGCAGGGCAGATGTCCATTGAAGGCCTCTCACTCTAAGCCCCCATGATGGTAACATCCTTTCTTAATCCCATGAGTTCTCTCTGACTTGGGATTCAAGGTTCTCAAACACACTTTAGTTTCATGCAGAGTTTAAGCTGGCATAAACCAGCACGGCTGCTGAAAGAATCACCCCTTCTTCCCCTCTGTCATAGAACCACAGCATGGTTTGGGTTGGAAAGGACCTTAAAGATCATCAAGTCCAACCCCCTGCCATGGGCAGGGACATCTTGCACATCTTGCTCAAAGCCCCGTCCAACCTAGCCTTGAACGCTTCCAATGATGGGGCAGACACAGCTGCTCTGGGCAACCTATGCCAGTGTCTCACCACCCTCACCGCAAAGAATTTCTTCCACATGTGCAATCCAAGCCTACCCTCTTTCAGTTTAAAACCATTGCCCCTTGCCCTGTCACTGCAGACCCTGGTAAAAAGTCTCTCTCCATCTTTCTTATAAGCCCTTCTTAAGTATTGAAGGTCTCCCTGTAGCCTTCTCTTCTCCAGGCTGAACAACCCCAACTCTTTCAGCCCTTCTTCACAGGAGAGACATTCCAGCCCTCTGACAATTTTCATGGCCCTCCTCGGGACCCTCTCCAACAGGTCCAGAAGCCACTTCTTCACAGTCTTCCACCAGAAGTTGCATGAGCATTAGTGAGCCAGCACAAGGGAAACGGATTTAGTACAAAATCAACCCAGGTTAAAATCTCTGGTCTGGTTCACTCTGATCTGTTTGTAGATTTCCACATGCACTTCTTTCAAAGGCAGTGCTGTCTTACACAGGCTTAAACACTATATAAACATTTCTCTCCAAGTGTCCTTGCAGGAGGGGCATTCCCAGGTATACTGGGGTGTTCCTACAGTCATCATAACGATACGCCAAGTGGCAACATAAGGAGGTCCCCTAAGTCATCAGAGAAATACTGCAATTTGTGCGATGCGCTTGCAAGCTTCATTTCCACTCAGTACCAGACACAGTATCTCAAGAGCAAGACAAGGATATCGTCCCATGCTGGTACACAGCTCTCCGGAGAATTGCTGAGGGTTCACAGCTTCTAAAGGCAGAAGATGTCACAACCTCCATAATGTTGCTGTAATTATTCTCTTAGTGGTTTGTAACACCTGACGTGGTCTTTGCTGCATCCGATGAAAAATGCCAGTGCAGCTCAATTCACTATGATAGCAATATTTCTCTCCTCTGGATTGTGTAAAAAGGGAAATAGTGATGAGTGCAGTTACACAACCCACCAGAGGTTATATTTTCGCACTTACTAGGAAAGCAGCTTGTGGAGTCAGAGAGCCCTTCAAGCAAATATCATAGCAAAACATTGGCGGTAAAAACAAAATAAGAGGCATTTATGACTAAAAATATTAAGAAAGGGATTTCCAAAAGGATTTAAATGGTAAAATTCATTAAGAACTGGATGTCATAATCCATTTGCCTCCAGGGTTTACTTGAGAGTTATGCCTTTTAAAATAATGTTATGCTTCCACCCAAATATTTTTGGTTTGACCACCTCTTTGCAGCCAGGAAGCAATGTTCCCTTTATGTTATAATGCATGATGGGCTAATTTCTCCCTGTGGCCCACATGGTGGTACAGAGCTGCAGACACTGTTCTCTTTTAATGGTGAACATGGTGCACTTCAGGATAAAGAAAACAGTATTATCTGTGAGAGATTTTTGCCACAGTACGTTAAGAATAGAGGCTTCCTCAGCCTTGTTCTGGCTTAATTTCTTCTTGCAGCTTTATAGGAGCACTGCAGAATTCCCCCATTGGGGAGTCACTTCTTCCAAGGGGAGCACGCTGTGCTGGACAGACCACTGCTCTCCCTCAACAAGGTGCACTGTCATTGCTCCTTGGTTGTCCAAGACTTCTCCATCTGACCTGGAATCCTCATGTTTCATTCTCCTCTCTCTGTGGCTCTCCAGTTCCTTCTCAATAACTCCCTAAAATAGTCCCACTTTTACTTTTGACCATCCTTAGGCAAAAGTAAGCCTCCCTCCTCCGTCTCCTAGCCCTGGGTCACATTTGCTCGTTGATCTGCCTGTGTTTTCCTGGCACAGCTGTACTTGGCAGCAGTGCCACATTCCAAGGGCTTCAGACATTTTCTCAGTCTGCTGCCTTCTTGGTCCGAATTTCACACTCAGAAAGAGCAAAAGAAAAGGGCAAAAATGCCTGTGTTTTTAAACACTTGTGGTATTCAGGAGCTCCTGACCTGTTCAACTGACAATGATATGGAAAGAGAATTGGTGCCATCTATCGGAGAGAGAAAACAAGGTCAGTTGTCAATTTGGCTTTTAGCTTTTCTGCACATTTATCCATTTTATTTTTTTCTTGCTCTTTATCATCAAGGGTGTAAGGACAGAAACAGCAGCACCTGCTGGCATGGCAGCTGTTGAGTGAAATGTCCTGCTTCCTGAGTGGACACCAGCATCTGTTGAGTGGTTGAGAAAGGAGAAGACAGCCCAAACAAGGATCCTACAGTACTGTCAATGGCAGTTACTCTGCAGACATGAGTCAGTTCATCTCTTCTGAACTGCCAGAGACAGAATCACAAAGCCACCAGGCTGTGGTTAACATTTTGCTCTTCTTCTCAGCCAAAAGTCTAAAGCATCCTAGTGACAGGAAGAAAATTACTTTGTCATCAGGGCTCCTAACGCACGGCCATGTACCTAGAGGAAATAGCATGGAGTACTTTTCTTGGTTTCTATTCTTGCTAGACAGAGAATAAGCGGGGATATTTTTGTCAATTTGAGTCCAATCACTAAATTTATTAGGAAAAAAAAAAAGATTACTGATTATATCTTTGACTGGTGACAGAATGAGTTTGTTTCAAGAAAGAAATCAGAGCTGCTGGTTAGGAATTCCAGCAACTCGGCACAATCAAACTGCAACTCATTTGAGGAAGGAAAAAGCTGAAAAGGAAAACCATTACCATACAATTTCTCTACTTACCAGCAAGCTCTGAATCAGATCCTCTAAAAGCTGCGCTAGAGGTACTATTTTTACTCCTCTATGTCATTGCACAGGGATGTTATATAATTGCAGTTGTAAAAGAAGTTATCCACTCAGCTGTATGTGGGAGGGAAAACAGCACATGACACTCTGCATTAAACAGTGTAGAATGGGCCAAAAGCAATTAGTTAGATATGTTCTTTGGCGACACCTTTGCTGCACGTACCCTGCCCACAACAGGGTCATCAGACTGAAAACATGATCTTGGGTCACTTTTTTCTACTCTTTTATTTCTGCCATGTCTTGGGTTCCTGGGCTTCACATTTGATGATTCTCCCTTTGAAGGGAGTTACAGTATCAACAGAAATAGGTTCAATACTGGGCTGTTAATCAAAAGTCCATGATGATCTCAGATTGAACATACCATACCATCTGCTAATGGCAGATGAACATTCAGATCATACATCTGACTTCCATGCTCTTTGTAGTTGTTTTACTGTAGATGATAATCTAGGGCCTGATACGTTTAATGTAAATGTTACCAGCTGGCTCTGAGCCCTCTCCAGGCCATGGTAGCATTTAATTGGAAGAAATGAATGCATTTCATTATCTTTCTTCTCTCTAGGTTATGGTGACATTCATCACACAGTACTGCTGACTGCAAAAGTTGGATGCACTTCATAACATCCCCATTCCCCCACTTAACCTGCTCAAAGCCTACAAAGAACATATCATTATGGTGCTTTCAAATTACCTGTCAATTGGAAATTAAACTGAATCAGCAAATTTGAAGTAACAGCAAACACGCCAGCATTTCTTTGGCAAGAAGCCCAGGTATTCAGCAAGGGTAATAGTCCTTCCACATACCCGTGGATACCTCTGTGGACAGAACAAAGCAAATCCTCTTTAGGAACCTGAGCTGCTCAGAGGAAGCAATCCAGACTGGCGTAGTGTATATTCACAGTGTCCTGAGAGAGAGGTCAGTCTTTGGGCTACGTCTGCACAGCATCTGTGGGAACCTGGCCAATATCAGGTGTTCTCAGCAGCTACCACAGCAACAGTCAGAAGCAAGAAGGCAACACTCAGACTAGAAAGGAAGAGCAGAGCCAACATAAAAGAGTCAAAGGCAGCATGAGTTCCACGTAATATAAGGCAGACAGACACACAGATAAAACTTAAGCCCTTTGTGTATATATGTAAAGATATACATAGAGACATGTTCTTTGTATCAAAGCTTTCTGAAGTTCAAGACTTTGTCCCAGCTTTGTTAGATTCTCAGGGTTCAGTTCCTGGACAACTGTAAAAACAGTATCCAAGCTGTTAGCCCAGGGCGACAAGAAGATAATTCAGCACAATCCTCCGTCTTTTCAGACTAAGCTAAGCTGCATTATCTCACATTTGCTAGGGAGCAAGGCTGTACACAAAGATTGTTTCCATGGCTCAGCTGCCACAAGGGAATTTCTTAAGTAACTTGACTGAATCTGAGCCCTTAGACCCAGAGCTGACCGATGTCTGTTTCCACAAACAAATGTTATACAGTGGCTTGGGGCAAGCTAGACACTTTTGTACCTCTTGCCTCCAAACATTTACCATCTGTGTAGTACAGCATAGATAGATGAGCTACTCATAACTCAGCCCAGCAGCTCAGACCGCTCACCAGAGAGAACAGAAGTCGCCTTCCTTCGCAGAGCCAACACACTCCACTCCTACATGTTATTCATGGCCTGCAGAATGGACAAAACAAATTAATCACATGAGACACTGTGGTGAAGAAAAAATCTGAATAAAATAGGTGGGCCCAAACAGTTGTTTCCTCCATTGCATTCTCACAACACTGAAGTGTAACAACAGTTTCATGCAAACACTTTAACGTTCCTTAGACAAAAGCAATTTTTCCTTTTCTGTAAAAAAAATTTTTTATTTTTCACAAGGCCTCTTTGGTTATTTCTTCCCCTCCCCTATCTACAAGTACTTTACTTTTTCTTTGGCTTTTAAAAAGCAAGAAGTTTCATTCCAGTTAGAATCAGATACATCACTTCTGATTCCAGGCAACCCCCCTCCATTTTACAGCTGCAAGCAAGGACTGTTCTTGCATTTGGATCTCTTCAAAGAACTGTGAAATACATAGATCTTATTGGCAGTGAAGCACACACTGAAATGCTGAATTGCTTCCCCCAAAACATGGATATTTGCTGTCTAAATAAGATCTGTTCCCAAAAATGAATTCTGGGTACTAAAACCAGACCTGGATTACTGTGGGAACAAACAGCTATGAGAAGTGTAATGAAATAGCAAATGCTTCTTTAAATTCTTCTGACAAGTAAAACTTGGTTTATCTTTGTTGCTCTTCTTTTGCCTTTGCTGCATACACAGTAAGGTCGTGCAGTTTGCAAGAACTTTGCTCAGAGCTCAGATAAAAAGCCGTGATAAGCTGCTAGTATTTCTGTTCCTTGTTCTCACAGTAGCTACCTTTTTTGCCCCTCTTGTTCCCGTGCACTCCTGTATAACACACCAGACAGGGATCCAGTGATGGGAGATGACAGTAATTCAGAGATCGCACTCCCTCAAGCAGAAAAGATCTCAGTGTACCTACTAGAAGCCGGATTCCATTTGTTAGCAGTGTAAGCAGAAAGCACATGGATTATGGGCTCAGCATGCGTAAATCTGCTATCAAACCTGTTCTTTATCACGCAGGTGGTCCCAAATGCTTGCTGGTTTTATTTCTAGGGAGATTTGTAACCTGCACGCTCAGTTTGAATGCTGAAGTCCTCAGCTGTAAAAGGATTGCTCCCTGCCAGCATCCACCATCCACTGTGCACCTCTCTTCTCTCCCTCATGCTGGGGAGTCCCTGGCTGCAGCGCTTGGGGGGCAGCTGGGGAGACTAGTCCGCAGAAAGACATGACTTCATTAAACAGTAGACAGTTCACAGCTCCTAGGAGATATCAAAGCAGCATTTTCAAATCAAATGAGCTTATTTTCAAGCCATGCAGTTATTTAATGAAAGAATGGTATTTTCCACTTGGAAAGCCAACATTTTAGCTAAAATAGCATTTTTCCCACTGAAAAAAAAGGAATCAAAATATCATAGTTGGCCCCATTACCTAAGAACAGGCTGTTCTGTGGGGTACTTCCCGCCCAGCATTCCTGTTAAAGACAGTCATTAAGGGTGACCTGCCCCAAAGAACTTCATCCCTGGGAACCAGGCATTTAAGGACTTGCCAGACATTGCATCCAGCCAGGACATTTAACAGCCATTATGGGGCAACACCCCCACAGTGTGGCAAACCCCATCCTAACTGATTTGATCATAGAATCATAGAACCCTAGGTTGGAAGGGACCTCAAGAATCATCTGCTCCAACCTTTCTAGGTAAGAGCACAGTCTAGACAAGATGGCCCAGCACCCTGTCCAGTGGAGTCTGAAAAGTGTCTGTCCTGGTTTCGGCTGGGATAGAGTTAATTTTCTTCCTAGTAGCTAGCATAGTGCTGTGGTTTGGATTTAGTACCACAAGAATGTTGATAACACACTGATGTTTTCAGCTGTTGCCAAGTAGTGCTCGGACTACTCAAGGACTTTTTGAGCTTCTCCTGCTCAGCCAGGTGCATAACAAGCTGGGAGTACAGCACAGCTAGCACAGCTAACCCAAACTGTCCAAAGAGCTATTCCAGACCATATAACGTCATGCTCGGGGGGAGTTAGTCGGCCAGTCGGTTGCGGGG